TATTATTATGTCGAAATGCAATGCATTTTTTTTTTATAAACTGACCTTTTCAAGTGACGAAAACGTGTTGTATTTAAAAAATAAGGAAGCTTTCAACCCATTCAACTTAAAGAACGCATATAAATTAAAAGGTCAATAAGTGTATTATAACATAAAAAAAGATTGCTAACAAGTTTTTCGGAACATAATCGCTTAATAAATCTACTTAGTTGCCAATTACCTAATGCGGATGCTTTTTGCATGGATTTACAATTAAAGGTAATAAATAAAAATAAATTAAGTGATATTTTCGCACATTTTGAATTAATTTAGATCGATAAGCGTTCCTCTCGTTTTGCTCCATATTAATTTGATTATAATTTTTTTTATTCAAAAATGCTTAAAGTTTTCTTCAATAAAAATCTTTCTTTCTTTTTTTTTATAAAACAAAGTGTACTTATAGATATAATTTTTTACAAAGCAATATCTGCTTGATTTATTTACTATAATAATAGAATATTATTTATATTTTTATAAATAATTGAATAGATAAAAAAAACTGTGAATGAAAACTAGGTGTGGTCCTGGCATAGAACGGGCCACCTCTTCCTTTTTCTTGAGTGTCGTAAGAGGCGACTAAGGGAACTTAATGATCAAGGGATGGGCAACAGTGTCCCCCTTAAAACGCCAAGTGTGCTAACTATTGGCAAGCTTCCACTCCCCTTATGGGAGAGGCCTATGTTCAAATATTCGTAGGGCCTTATTAGTTACATGGATATTAATATCTTAATTGAGCTTCCTTATTTATGATAAATAGTTCTTGTTTCCTTTAAACAAATATGCTTATATAAACATACTTTGATAATAAATTTATTTTACATTATTTTTGATGCCGACCGTACTTCGTCCAGATCGCGTCTCGCTTCTATAATACCAAGTTTTCACTATAGCATTACATAACGTACCTACATAAGGCGTAATTGTTTCGTTGTGGACAGGTGCCAATTGTGTAAGGGCTTCAGTGTAGGTCAACTGCAGAATGCAGTATATGGCAGTTCTTAAATATTTCTCTTATTTTTTTTTTTTTGGGACGACCCATTAACCTATGACCATGGTCTTTTTATCGATGTACGATAAAAATTTTCGTAACGCTGCATCGGAAATTCGCTCTCTTATTTTGTACTTACTCTACGATTCGTAACTGAGAGCAATAAAGGATACATAGGATTTATTCTGTTCTCAATTTAGTATAATCTTCATTAGTGGTATATAAGAGATTTTCAAATAATGTGAGATTAAAATTAAATGTAACGGAACGTTATTATTTTTTTTTTTTGTTGAATAGACATTAAATTTAAATAATTCGAATAAAGAACATAGAGTATTGGAATTTTATCAAGGTATTGAAATGTTAACAGGGAATTGAGATTTTAAGAAGACAACGTTTTATAAAACTAACAATATCCTGCGGCTTTGCTCATGTGAATTATGATAATTACAATGGTAGGTAGCCGTGTGGTTCCGGCATAGAATAGGCCACCCCTTCCTTTCCCGTGGGTGTCGTAAGAGACGACTAAAGGAGGGCGAGGGATGGGCAGCAGCGTTCCTCTTAAAACTAAAAGCCTAATTACGGTTGCCAACCCGCCTACCAAGCGTGGCAACTATTGGCAAAACTCTCCTTATGGAGAAACCTTATTTCTAGAAGTGGACAGTTAACGGTTGAAATAATAATAATAAATTGAAATATTAACAGAGAATTGAGATTTTACAGAGACTGCGTTTTATAAAAACTAACAATATCCTGCGGCTTTGCCTACGTGAGTTATGACAATTATAATATTAGGATAGGATAAGATTTTAACTTACGCAGTCTGTTTGCAATATTTAAAAGCAATACGTTATTCTCCATCTATGGTATTATATGCATAAAAGTGACTATAAATTGTTTTTGGTATCAAGAACCAAAAGCTATGCTAGCTTAGTAGTTATTTGTCGTAAGTACTTAATCTAATAATTGCATAACGCAGACTGAAACTGCAAGGAGCCTATTTAATTTCGTAACTAGACAGATTAAACAACTACTCACAAGTTTCTTTTTTGTTTAATATATACTAATAATTTCATAATCCCTAGAAATAAGTTTTGCAAAAGATAATTACGTAAACGCCAATGAGTAGTAAATATTGATAGGTCGCCTTAAATTGACGTACGTTGACCCAAATAGGAGTTTTTTTTTTTAATGGGTGATAATGGAATGTTAACCCCACCCGCGCTATTGATATACACCGGCGGGGCACCAGTGAGGGATGATAGATGAGGATGAAGCAGGTCAGTTAGCCCATTGTAACGAATTTAACAAGAATTGTTCATGATGGTCTCCAGGGGGAACCAGGTGGAGGTCGACCTGATAGGGCATATTGCTAGCAATGTCGAACTCCCTTGCTGACAATCCCTTTCCTCCCAGCCCCCCCCCCCCCAAATAGGAGTTATGCTGAAAAAGAGTCAAAAGTATCAGTTTATCAATAAATTTATTCATAAACAGCGTATATGTATGAATGGAATAATGAATGATGAATGTGTGGGAAAGAAAAATTTATTTGAATCAGAATGTTTGGCATTCCATTGTTTCTTTCTTTTTATTTTTTTTAATGTGGAAAAGGTGTTTAGGTATCATATACATACGAGTATATACCTGCTAAGCTTTAATTATTGGGAGGAAGGGGTCGTTAGTAGTGGGGGGACTAGCATTCCCATTGCTAGCAATACACCCTTTCAGGTCGACCTCCACGCGGTTCACCCTGGAAATCATCGTTGTTGAATTCGTCATGACGGGGCCAACTGACAAGGTTTTGTCCTCACCTATCATCCTTTATCCCGTGCCCCGTCAGCGGATACCGGTAGTGCAGGCAGGATTACCATTTCATTATCAACCATTAAAAAAAAACTGGGCCTTAAGTACAGGTACTTGGGTCTCCCTATTAAAACTTCACTATTGCCATTTTTTTTTTTTTTGCAATATATGAGAAGTGAATGACAGTTTTGTCCAACCCATAGAGAATAGAAGACATACGTGTCGTATAAGGAAGTGTAGAACTAAAGAAACTAATAGTACTTCCGAGCCATCTCATAAATATTAAGGAGGCTACAGCCTAGTCACCTATTAGCATGTCAACAGACTTCTACATATACGTAACATAGACAATTAGCTACTGCTAATTTTGGCATACTTCTACTTTCTTCCTGGTATATTTGTTTTATTTATTTATTTAAACTTCAATGCACAGTATAATTCTATGTACATTTGGCGGACTTAACACCGGACGGTGTTCTCTACCAATCAACCATTGGGCAAACCGAGAAATACGTAGGCAGTGCATTTTTGAATCGATGAAAAATAAAGCAATACTTGATAAATTCATATAATGTAAACATACACATAATATATTAAATAAATATACACATACATAAATAAATACCCGAGGGAGACTTTGTACAAAAGTCGATTGCTTGGGTACCTCTGTCCCATTCGTGTTTCTACCGTGAAGCACAGAGGAATAACACCTGAGTCTTCAGGAATGGCAACGCATGGGGTGTATCATGGGCGAAACAGTATACCCTGTTATGTCCATGATACTGCTCATGTCTATAGGCGACAGTTACCACTTTCCATCAGATGGACTGTCAGCTTGTTTGCCATTCTAAGTTGTATAAAAAAAAAAAGCGTAAAATATTACTTTATAAAACAATTAAATAAAACAACTACAGTAGAAGAGCAAATAGTAATCTATGACTCAAACAGAGTAACCAGCAGGAGAAGCTTAAAGGGAAAGTGATTTTTCTAAGTAACATGTGCGCAATTTGTGTATATGGTTCTTAGCAGGTTATAAAAAATAATATCATCAATGTAAACTATAACAAAATATATATATATATAATAAAAAATATAACAAAATCTTGACTTGAGAATAAAAATTATGGTATAATTAATTATATTGATAAAATAAAGATAAAAACCATAGATTAAACTATAGCATAGAGAAAGCCTATAATTATGTAACTCATCTGAGTGATTGCATAAATTTAAGGGATGACTCATTGATGACTCGATCGACTTACGTTGAACTTGTAAAATATAGCTTTCATTTTTAATTTTAAGTACGACGATAAAAAAGCAATGTCATAATTTAAGAGAATAATATTTATACGTAAATCGTGGTATGGTCCCAGCATAGAATGGGCCACCTCTTCCTTTCTCGTGTGTATCGTGAGAGGCGACTTAGGAAACTCAATGGTAGAATGATAAGCAGCAGCGTCTCTCTTAAAACATCACTAAAATCTAACAGCGGTTTCAATCCGCCTGCCAAGCGTGGCAACTACTGGCAAAATCCAGAGACCTATGTTCAGCAGAGAATAATTAACGGTCGATAAGATAGTGTACATATGTATTTCTGATCTGGGATTTTGAATTTAAATATGTCATAATAGGTGTTATTAGCGTAACTAGTTAGCCTAACTGCGGTTGCCACCCCTCTTGCCAAGAGTGACAACTACTAGCAAAACTTCGAGTTATGTTCAACAGTGGACAGATAAAGGCTGACATAATAATTGTAAGTCCTAATTTTACTTCGATGTTATTTTTTACTCGTTGTGGTGATAAAGTTAGAATGTAATGTCACTCCTTCATCATTCCTCATCATCAACATCTCGTAAAAGGCAACTAACGTAATAAATCACCATACGAAGAGTTTTCTTTCTTTTACACTGAACTAAACAAGAAAAACTCAGTCTTTCTAGTCAATTTTTTTTTATTTATCAAGCTGGGATCAAGGGATCAAGACGGCCAGCGAAATAACCTAAGTATCCTCCTATAATTAGGAAAACCTTTATAGTTATTTGCCAAGGTTATGTTTTTATTATTTACATTCCAATTATTTATCTTTTTTTTTTTTAAACTTTCTTTTCAAATCTGAAGTTCGGATGTTATTTTGTAAATGTGTCAAGGTTTATCATTTAAAACTCACCTTATCCACTTCAGTGATCCTCAAGACGATCTTGAGCCTCGGATTATTTTTTCTGTACTCCTTTAGCAGAGCATCGAGCTTGTCTCCTCTCGCGTCTCCCGCGTAAACGAGATGTGTACACTCCGTAAACCCTTCTGTCGAGCGTGCGTTCTCCACATAACAGACTAAGCGCGCCGCGCCTGCGCCGGCACCGTTAGCACCCGACAACACCGCAGCGACACCCAGACATAGTAACCAACCCCACATTTTTTTTTTAAATAAAAAAATCAAGCTGTCATTTCCGAACGCGTTCGATTTTCGAAATTCGAATTTGGGCTTTGGAAGCGCGTTGGTCGTTTCGTTGGCGCAGTACGAGTGTCGGAGGCTTCGTGGCCAGCCGCAATCATAGGCGCCCCCGCCCTGGCACGGTGGTGGTCGCAAGGTCGCGCGCTCACCGCCCGCGCTCTCGAACTTGTATTAAGAAGCTTGTAGTGTCATAAATGTTACGTTACGACTTTTGTCTCGGCGTATTGGTATGTCATGTGTGGCATTTTTGGAGCATGGACCATGTAACGTATATCGGTAACGAAATCGATCAAGTTGTCAATTTGCAACAATTTTACTTATCTTTTTTCTATTTTAAATGATGCATTGCTACATTTAATCTAGTTAGGTACCACTTTGTTGTTTGCATTACCTGTAACTGTTACCAAGAAGCATTACTTCTAGTTACTAAACACGATTTTAATCTCATTAAATTAATCAATTGTGTGTGTAGGTGTGTTATAAAGATAAGACTTTGATTATTACGTTTTGTTATTTTAATTGAAGATATCCATATTAATTCGGCGGTATTTTTATTATTAAATACAGTACTTTGTTCTTTATTTTACCTTTTTTCTGTTTATTCTGTGGTTGTACGATCATGTAACAATCCTAACGTGCCTATAAATAACACAGTATAAATATTTCTAATAAACACAAAAAAAAAATCAGAAACTAGGTATTCAAATGTTTTTCGTAATAATAATTATTAATTATCGAAATAACGAATGAAGACATTTTGACTGATCCGAACGTTTGATTATTGCCTTTATTCTTTACACGATAAAGACTTTTTACTCATTTACGTTAATGCTATAATATCCATCCGAAAATTATTTGTTTATAACACTTTATTGTACAGTAAAGTTTAAAATAATAAGATACTTAAAAGGGTTTTAAGAAAAGAATGAGTACAATGGCGGACTTAACCCATAAAAGGGATTTCTTCCAGTCAACCTTTGAATGTCTGATAAATATTGTGAATTGGTGAAGACACGAAAATAATCAGCAGAATAACCCCAGAGTGTGTTAAGACTTGATTTTAGGACATTTACTAAAGAGTAAATTCTCAAATCCGTTGGTAGATTAGTAATTCATTGACAATCAATTGCTGAATTCGATTTTTTTGGACAAATTTCCATCTCCAACTCTTATGTCGATTTTAAATCCAATATTCTGAGTCTGAAGTTGTAAAAAAGGATATGATAGCATTTGTAGAACTTCCTCATACATTTTTTTTATTATTGAATCATACTATATTACTTCAAAATTAAGAACAACGGTACTAAATTACTTGACTTGATGTTACAAAATCCAGCGAGCGTGTATGAGTAGATTGATGAGAGTAGAACAAGCGAAAGAGGTTTGTTCGAATCAAGAGCATTTGTCGTTCCATTGTTTCTGCTTACTCCAATGGAAGCGTGATGAATATATATGTATGAATGTTACAAAAGTTATTTAATATAACTAAAACGAAAATACTGTTTGCTGATGTATGATATATATATATATATATATATATATATATATATATATATATATATATATATATATATATATATATATATATATATATATATATATATATATATATATATATCATACACTTTAAAAATTAAAAATAACAAATACAGTAAATATTTAATGAGAAGTGATACAAAAAGCAGCTTTATCGCTAAGCAATTTTTTCCAGACAAGACTAAAAGACGTCCATTTGACGTCTATTCGATATGATTTCGATTGATTAGAATTTGATAGTGACGTTATCGTTTTATGAAGTCAAAATCAAAATAAGAAAAATCAAAGTATAGTATTAAATATCTATTTATTTAGTAGGTAACGTAATCTCGTAACTCGCTCGTTTTTCGCTTTTTTCAATTTTAGACATAATCATCTTAATAATCAGGTCAATAAACCAATAATAAATTATGTAAATCATGTTACTATAAAACCGCATTTTTTACATAATATAATTTTCATATTAAAACTAGATATATCGTCTGATATTATCTCGATTCACAAACAAGAATAGGAATGTAAATAAAAATACGAATTAATTTTATTTAAATTTACGTTGGCGTGAAAATGGAGAAATTAAAACAGTTCTTAAAAAAAAAGATATAAAACAATTGGCCCAGGAAGAACCGCGTGGAGTTCGACCTGATAGGGTTTATTGCTAACAAGACGGTAGTTAGACCCCATTACTAACAATCCATTTCTCCCCCTACTAAGCAGTTGTAAAAGCGACGTGTGGTCTCACTGCTAGCAATATTGGGTATGTCAGGTCAAACTCCATGTGGAGTTCCTCCGGAAACCATCGTGGTTAATTCTTTATATTCGTCACGATGGGCTAACCTGCTTTCATCCTCACCTATCATCCCTCACTGGTGCCCCGTCAGCGCAGGCAGGATTAACATTCCCTTATCATCCGTTAAAAAAATCTTTAGCCATCGTACGTATATATATGTTTACATCACGATTCCGGTCACTTGTTATTTCTTCATCGGACGAACTGATCCACCAACTTGTCTGGCAATGCTAGTAGATAGTGATATAGAAGAATATTTAATGTAATGCAGAAATTAAACATTTAAATTTATTTAAATTTCCAACAACGGCGTTCGCTGGCCTTTTTCGTACACTTATTACCTAACATCAGTGTCAATGATCTTATGTTGTTGATGATAGTTAAGTTGTAGTATCCGACAAATTTTGTATACAAGTTGAAATCTAAATCCTTTATTTCCATTGAAGGGATTTTTTTTTATACAACTTAGAATGGCATACAAGCTAACGGCCCACCTGATGGAAAGTGGTAACCGTCGCCTATAGACATGAGCAATACCATGGACATAACAGAGTATACTGTTTCGCTCATGATACCCCCCACGCGTTGCCATTCCTGAGGATTCAGGTGTTATTCCTCTGTACCCAGTAAATTCACGCCATATCCCCCACCCTTCAAACCGAAACACAGCCATGCAAACACAACTGCTTCGCGGTTGAAACACGAATGGGACAGAGGTACCCAAGCAATCGACTTTTGTACAAAGTCTCCACTGAAATCGCTTGCATCCTTTAAAGGGACTGTTTCACTAAAATCTCTGGTATTCTTTGAAGATATCGTTTTACCAGTGAAACTGAACATTTTCAAACCAGAGAGAGACTACAAAAGTCGTTTGCTTGGGCGCCTCTGTCCCATTCGTGTTTCTACCGTGAAGCAGTTGTGTTTGCATGGATGTGTTTAGGTTTGAAGAATGAGATATGGCAGTGAATTTACAGGGTACAGAGGAATAACACCTGAGTCATCAGGAATGGCAACGCATGGGGAGTATCATGGGCGAAAAATGGATTGAAAAAGGTAAAAAAATATTGAACTTCCTATATCAAGGCTCTGTCACCTGTTGATTTTGAATGGAGACTCACAATTTTTCTGTAGTTTTCTAATTTCTGATTCTCAAAGTTTCTGTCCTAATATGTTCTGTAACATGGGTAAATTTTATTTTTGCGTACCGCTAACGATTTCGAAACAAACCTATTTTAACTATTACATTGTTTTGTCACCTTCATTCAAACGGAGAATACAGCACAAAAAAGAGACAAAACACTTCAATAACTATAATAGGTTTATAAGAAATTTGCGGTTTTTATGAATAAGGGATTAAGATTTCACCCAGTAACACAAGGGTAAACTCCTACGATTATGAGGAAGAAGAAATTGCTACTAATGGGGACTAACAACCCCATTCTTTCTTTCTTTCTTTATTCTTTATTGTACACAAAAGGTTATTCAAATGTAAAAACAAACATAATAGTGCACAAAGGCAAGCTTATCTCCAATAGAGATTACTTCCAGCAAACCCAATATGAGAAAACTGACAGTTCATTAGTAGTTACAGTCATACATGTGTACCAATCGACTTAAATGTTATAGTTAAAAATAAATATATAAAATGTCTTTACAATTGAAAAGACCATTGCTAGGAATATAGGGTCTATCAGGTCGACTTCCACCCTGTTCCACCTGCAAATCATCGTGATTAATTATTTTTGAATTTGCCACGATGGGCCAACTGATCTTCTTTTATCCTCACCTATCATCCTTCACAGGTGCCGGCCAGCATATACTGATAGCGCAGGCGGGCTTACTATCTTTATCTATTAAAAAAACAAACTCTTTGATTAATAAAAAAATAATATTTTAATCTAATAACTACAGTCTCCCTATGGTGATAAGAAGCGAGTAAGAGAACATAATTATCGACATGCAGCAGCATCTTTCCTAAAACATCACTAAAGACTAACTGCAATTGCCAATCCACTTGCCCAGTATAGCAACTATCGGAAAAACTCCCTTATAGGAAAAACAATTTTTTATTATTTTTTTTAGCTATTGCTTCTGTCGCTACGTTTTAATGCGACAACCTCCATATCTTTGTTATATTTACTATCTTATCTCATTTACTGAGTTCTTTTTTCCCTCGAGTTTATTATAATAATAGTTTATAATATATATAAATATATGTCATATTATAAAAAAAGACTATGCATGTTTAACTACTTGTGTTCGTAGTGACGAAAATAAGGAAATCGGAACTAAACGTCTAAACTAGTGAATTTAGATGTTTATTTCCGTTTTCCTTGCCAATTTTTGTTAATATATTCAGGAAAGGTTATGTTTAACAGTAGACTGTTTTGCAATTAACTGCTGACATAATAATAATAATAATATATTATTGTTCGATTTGTGATAAGCTAACACCTTATTTTTTAAAACTATTTTTAAGCAGACTCATTTTTGTTTATTTGATACTTCTTATTAAATGTGGGGAAAGGGATTGTTAGCAATGGAGTTTGACAGCCCCATTGCTAGCAATATGCCTTATTAGGTCGACCTCCACGTGGTTCCCCCTGGAAACCATCGTGAACAATTCTTGTTGAATTCGTCACGATGGGCTAACTGACCTGCTTCATACTCACCTATCATCCTTCACTGGTGCCCCGCCGGTGTATACCGATAGCGCGGATGGGGTTACCATTTCATTATCAGCCATTAAAAACTTCTTATTAAATACGAAAGTCGTACACGATCACGCATACAGTGTATTTCGTATTAGTAACATTATAGGTATTAGATACAGTCCGGATATGTTAGTATATATAAGTACATACTTAACATGATAATAATAATTGTTATCATATAAAATACGATACCATCTAAGTAAGTGTTACTCATCATGATTGAGCAATTTTTAAACAGAACATGTACCGTCCATCCATAGAAATACGCCTATCAAACAATGTATAGAATGAAATTTAACTTATATAGGAATGTCTAAACATTTAGCTGAGTGGTGACCGTTTTGGTCGTAAAATTACTAATTCGGTATAAATTTCTTTTTGTATCTCCTTTTTCTTAAGTTTATAATTGTTTATGCTTTATTTGTAACTGTTGTTGATACGCGCCAAATAAATATTTACTTTCTTTTTTTTTCTTTCTCGTCATCCTTTTAAGGATGCATTCTACTAGTAAGTCTGAATGTTGTTTTTTCAAATAGGCGAAGGTCTCGCCATTGATTTCTGCAGGTACAAGACTTTTTAATTAATGAAAATTAAACGAAAATATAATACAATACACTTAGCTTCCTGTTGTCAGTTTTTTTTAATTAAACTTTGCTTTCTTATTTTTTTTTAGTTAATAATTAATATTTTTTGTTACGTTTTCTCTTTTTTTATGACTTATATGTCTGAAATCTTTAATGAAACATATTTTAAATAAAAGATTTTATTTAAAATAAGTTTCATTAAAAAGTCTTATACCTGCTGAAGTGAGCGAAGGCATCTTAGGCTAAAAGAAACATAGACGAAGAAATTTTCCATATCTTCTAAATACATGTCCAGCTGTCAGTATGGAAGGCCCTATAATTTTTATTGGTTTTCAACCCACATTTCTTTGGTGAAAATCTTGTTTTACTAATCAATGTAGTAACCGTCATCTATAGACATAAATAAAAATAAAAATATACTGCCCACGGTAGCTCTCATGAGTTGCCATTCCTGAGAACTATGATATTATGTCTACGTACCCTGTAATTTCACTGCTATATCCCAAACCAAATCGCAACCACGTAAGCACAGCTGCAACGGCAAATACACGACTGGAACAAAGGTACCTATGCATACGATTTCAGTACAAAGTTCAGGGACTTCTGTCCCTCTGGTAAATTCCACACAACTCACAAATAATACACATTTTTCACAGAAAGATTCTACGGAAATACCCAATGAATCAGTCGAGAACACATTAAAATAATATGAAAATAATCTGGGTAACCACAGATTACGATTTTTAATAAAATTGTAATATACTCTTTTAATAATAGATAACACGAGTCTCGGCCAATGTACTGCGTGTGTACTTAGCTACAAATGATAACACTATATATTATGAACGATAAAAAAATTACCAGAGTGAGACTTTGTACAAAAATCGTTTGCTTGGGTACCTTTGAAAAATTCGTGTTTCTGCTGTGAAGCAGTTGTGTTTGCGTGGCTGTGTTTCGGTTTGAAGGGTGGGATATGACAGTGAAATTACAGGGTACCAAAGCATAACAGCTTAGTCCTCAGGGATGGCAATGTATGGGGGAGACCTTTAACTTAAAATTCCTACTTATTCTTCCTCTTTCTACTCCAAATCCATTTCCGTGCAAGCAGTTCGTTTGTGGAACTCACACCCTATCTCTATACGGTGTGCTCAATCTTCACCTATTTTTAAAACCTATCCTCATAATCATGTTATATATGTATGTATGGGTACTGCTGGATTCCTACCGACTGTAACTACCACAGTATTCCTCGCCACGCCATACCTTATTTTTTTAGGGTACGGACAAACAAGCTGACGGCCCACCTGATGGACAGTGGTAACCGTCGCCTATAGACATGAGCAGTACCATGGACATAACAGAGTATACTGTTTCACCCATGATACCCCCCATGCGTTGCCATTCTTGAGGACTCTGGTGTTATAACTCTGTACCCTGTAAATTCACTGCCATATCCCACCCTTCAAACCGAAACAGAGCATTTAACATAAAATATCTGTTCTACTAATTCAAACAGACAAGACCGTAGTACTGAGCTAGTTAATGTGAAGAATACTTATTATAAGAATAATTGAAAAATACAAGTCGTGAAATTCACCTTTGATACTACAAATGTGACACGACAACACTACCATATCTAAATATTTGACGCAGTAGTCATGTTACCATTTCGCGCCAATATAAAGCACTTATTTAGTTTTGACGCTTATCTATTTCCCAAAAGTTATTAGAACAAGTTCTAAGAATACCTAAGCCATTTTATAACCCACTAGCGGCCCGTCCCGGCTTCGCACGGGTGGACTTTTTTATAAAATTTTAAAAACTGGTTATTGTGACATAACGATAATAGTTGGACATATAGTATCGCGAAGTTTATTGTAGTTATTAATATTTTCTTCAATATTGTAGAACATACTTTTGTTCTATCACCAATAGTTTCCGCAGCGCACGCGACGAACGATATTTTATAGCATTTTTTACACCTTGAGTTACGTTACTAAAGTTTTAGTAAGGATCCCTAATCTTTTCTAGCAATAAATATATCCTATATTACTCAGGGTGAATGTAGTTTTCTTATGGTGAAAAAATTTATGAAATCGGCAAAGTAGTTTTTGGGTTTATTCATTACAAACATACACACAAAAATACAAATCTTTCCTCTTTATAATATTAGTGTAGATGCAGATGTAGATTATTTGTGCCCGTGACTTCGTCTGTTTGACGAATATAAAGTCATGTCATCATACCCTATCTGTCAGGGGGGAAGGGATTGTTAGTACTGGGCCTCCCCATTAGTCCCGATTGCTATCAATATGCTTTATCAGGTCGACTAACTTATTGTTGAATAATCATTCATTCATTTCACCTATCATCCCTCACTGGTGCCCTGCCAGCGTATACCAATAGCGCAGGTGAGGTTACCATTCCATTATCACCTATTAAAAAAAAAACCCTATCCGTCACCATGCCAACATGTATACTGAATACGTTTTAGAAGTATATGAATTCCAATTAATATAAACAACCTATCAAAATGGTTAATAAAAAACATATTCAAATTTATCAAATGTTTTTTTCTTTGTTTTCAAGCACAAAGTGACACCAGAATTCATCAATTGCAACAAAAAATAAAGTTTTGGTTTCGATGATATATTACTCATTACATTTTGCGGTTTTGCTTGTATTTAACAATACATTAAGTATCCTACACACTAAATAAGAATATAACCTATCCATGTACCAAATTTCATTCAAATCCGTTCAGTGGCCCGCGTGTAAAAACTATAAATATCCATCCATCCTTACAAAATTCCACGTTTATAATATTTATAGGTTAATCATCATTGTTATTACATCAACCATATTGTAGGATAATAGGATTTATTATATTACCTGTATACCTACTGTAATAATTAATTTCTCATTTTATAATAATTAATACTAATATACAAAATTGAATTATAATTATAAACAGACTTTTTTTATACAACTTAGAATGGCAAACAAGCTGACGGCCCACCTGATGGAAAGTGGTAACCGTCGCCTATAGACATGAGCAGTACCATGGACATAACAGACTATACTGTTTCGCCCATGATACCCCCCATGCGTTGCCATTCCTGAGGACTCAGATGTTATTCCTCTGTACCCTGTGAATTCACGCCATATCCCACCCTTTAAACCGAAACACAGCCATGCAAACACAACTGAAACACGAATAGGACAGAGGTACCCAAGCAATCGACTTTTGTACAACGTCTCCCTCTGGCAAGACTAATTAGTTCCACTACTTTTAGCTAATGTTGAACGTATAACACGTACTCCATGCGATAAAACACATGCAAAAAATAACCAAAAATATGTTTATGCCGTGAAACTACTTATGAAATGAATTTCATTGTATTTTTCTAAAAGTATATTAATTTTTTCAATTTTGTTGAGATACTGTACAACTGAAGCCAAAATGTTTTTTTTTCACAATACCTAATTATACCTGAACCTTAATCATTAAAAATTAACGAAAAAACCTCACTTTCACATTTCAAATAAAATTTTAGTCTAATAAATAGATGGCGAATACGTGATGTTTTGACAAACAAACCGACAAAGATGTACCACTGCATTACGTAAGCAGATATAGATTATTCATGTTATTTAGTGATACGCCAACAGACCAGTTTTTGTACGGAATCTTATCAGAATCATGTTACAACACAGGCACGACGTCAACTTAGCGATTTATAATTTTATTATAATATTTCTTAAATAGTGCACGATGTCTTTTATTGGGAAAAAATACAGGAGGGTGCGGTGTGAAAATATTGAGGAGTTGCTAAAAGCGGCAAGTGAGTTTTGTACGATATTAAGTTTGTGTAAGTGTGTCAGTGTATGTAAATTCAAATGTTATTTAGCGTCGAGTGTTAACTGTTGTAATTGTCACATGTTTTTTCTTAATTGACTTCTAGTAAACAGTTTTAGTTTTATTGTTTTATCGATATAAAAGTGCTTAATGTAAGTGTGCAATTTGTAAATGATTTTGTATTAAAAAAAAAAACTAATTTTTTTATTAAAAAATAATAATTATCATCTTCATATTGTTTATGGCAAGTAAAAAAAAATATTCCGAGTGATATCCTATTAATTTCTCTTGGTTTTAAGTTTATTTTTATTGTGCAAAATAATTCGTACATTATCTGTAGAGTTAGATAAGTTATAGTTACGTGATTATATATTTGCCTTCAAATTTATTGAATAGCTTAATTTAGTGTTGTTGACAAATTAGTTTACTACACAGTTAAAAATTAACTGTCGAATATATAATATATAATCGGAGCATTTATTGGTTTACGCACGTCAACTAAGCATTGACGTATTTGATATTAATTCCGCTTAAAAAAGCGAATATTTTAAGGTTATAAAATATAATAATTTGATTACAATTTAAAGTCATAACCGCGTACTGCATATTTTTTTAATGGGTGATAATGGAATGGTAACCCCACCTATGCAGGGGGGAAGGAATTGTTAGTAATGCGGATTATCAGTCCCATTGCTAATAATATACCCTTACAGGTCGACCTCCCCGTGGTCCCCCCTGGAAACCATCGTGCTGAAATCTAAGTGTGTTTATCACGATGGGCTAACTCGCCTGTCTTTTCATCCTCACCTATCATCCCTCACTGGTGCCCTGTCAGCGTATACCGTTAGCGCAGGTGGGTTTACCATTTCATTATCAATTATGAAAAAAAAAACCACCTATGCCAACAGTATACGCTGGAGAGGTACCAGTGAGTGATAATAGGTGACGACGAAAGTAGATCAGTTAGCCCATCGTCACGAATTTCACTAGAATTAATGACGAGGGTTTCCAAAGGGAACTGCATGGAGGTCGACCTGATAGGGTGTATTACTGGCAATGGGTCAGTTAGATCCCATTACTAACAATCCCTTTCACCCCAATAGAGCTTATTTGACGCCCTATAGCACTCAGTAGTAATGAAAAAAGGAGAAATCATGTAAATAGGTGTTCAAATGATGAACAGGATAATGCTGGGAAAATCTAAGACGAGGTGTGGTTTGATCCACATCTTTTGTGTGCGCAGAGGGAAATCGCAAGACATTGCCCGCGACGCAGGGCACACAGCAAAACTACGTCGACCCAGGGTGCAGCTCTGCGTTTTGTAAAGATTGGAAACCAGACCCGACTAAAGGTACGTCGGTTCACTTTTTATATGAACTATTATTAAATATTAATTTTTATGTTAATAGATACAAAATTCAAAAGTTTCTCTGTCCCTAAAAACCTTAATCGGACAATTTTTTTTTTAATGGGTGAAAATGGTATGGTAACCACGCCTGCGCTAACGGGATACGCTGGCGGAGCACCAGTGAAGGGTGATAGATGAGAATGAAAACAGGCCAATTAGCCCATCATGATGAATTCATCAGGAATTAACCATGATAGTTCCCAGGGGGAACCGCGAGGAGGTCGACCTGGTTGGGTATATTGCTAGCAATGGGATTCTCAGTCTCCATTACTAACAATCCCTTTCCCCCTAATCGGACAATTACAAACACTAACCGTGAAGCAGCTGTGTTTGCATGGCTGCATTTCGGTATGAAGGGTTGGATATGACGTGAATTTACTGGGTACAGAGGAATGACACCTGAGTCCTCAGGAATGGCAACGCATGGGGGGTATCTCGGGCGAAACAGTATACTCTGTTATGTCCATGGTACTGCTCATGTCTATAGGCGACGGTTATCAGTTTCCATCAGGTGGACCGTCAGCTTGTTTGTCATTCTAAGTTGTATAAAAAAAAAATCATAATGAGATAATATTGTTATCACTTCGAATTGACGTCATAGGTCTTAATTTGAATTTTTTATGCCTTTTTTAAAAAACAGATTCAAATTCTATTCTAGGACCCAATGAGAATTTAATACGATTGCTACAGTACAGTGCACCCATTTTCTACTTTACAAGGATTGATGACACAACGCTCCAGCTCACCGTACAAATGGATGACGTAGTACGATCACATAGCTTCAAGTTGGATGAAGAAAACGAGTTCCAAAGAAGAGATGGCTCTAAGGTATATCACGTGCGAATCGCTCACAATAATTATTATTATAGACAATAGATTCATGTCATTAATCATTAACAAAATCAAAAGCAATCAATAAATTAGCATTCATTATCTTACATGAATCTAAACATTAGGTATTATTAATAAAAAAATTCAGTCATTAATATGAATTTCAAACCCTTTTTTTTATTTAGGAAAAATATTGAGTACTTATTTTGAATCAAAGCCTTTTGCATTTATTTGAATGTTTATTTGTAAAATACTAACCACATAACAATGGGGGGAAAGGGACTGTTAGTAATGGAGACTGAGAATCCTATTGCTAGCAATATACCTAACCAGGTCGACCTCCTCGCGGTTCCCCCTGGAAACTATCATGATCAATTCCTGATGAATTCATCATGATGGGCTAACTGGCCTGTTTTCATTCTCATCTATCACCCTTCACTGGTGCTCCGCCAGCATATCCCGTTAGCGCAGGGCTACTATACCATTTTTACCCATAAAAAAAAAACCACATAACAATATTAATTCTCGAGTTTGTCTTTTGTGCACACGCGTCTTTTCTGAAAGTCTTAACCTAGCTAGTGCTTTTGACAGTTCACCTGTCGTCGCATTACTCTTTTTTTTTATTTATGGAATGGCCACAGATATATTCAACAGTAGTTCTGTAATAACTAGACATATGGACACGCTGTCTCTCTCTCTCTCTTTCTTTCTTCCTGATTCCAACATCGTGATTTCATCCTTATCTGTAATTACTTACTGGTATCACGCTGGTATATACCGATAACGTAAGGATACGATTCCACTTTCATCTCATGAATAAAATCCTTTTAATCATTTCTTCTGTACATTGATTATCTGAAAGATATTGCTTAGTAATAAGATAGCTGTTATCCTTCATTCCACAGCCATTCTGTCAACTATGTAATATAGGTGTAATATTATTTACATAAGTAAGATACAGTATACTTATTTATTCACATGAACAAGACAAGCTACGACTATATTTTTATAAGTACCTATTTAATAATTACAGATAAAAGTCAAATTCACATTGGAAAGTGAAAACGTTTTAAAACAAGAGATCAAGCAACTAGACGGAACATTAGCCTATTTCACGAGGGAATTCGGCGATAAAGAAACAAAAATGGTAAGTGTATTTTATTTTTTATTTTTACGTTTTCCAAAAAAAACAGTATCTCAGTTTATCTGTTTTTTTTTTTGCCTGAATATATTGCTAATATATAATATATATAATTTTACATTATTTTTTACGGACTTTTAAAAAGAGATTTTCACGTGGTTTATAATTTTTTATATTTGTTTGAACCTTAGAACTTTATCATTTATAAATTGATTTTTTTTTTTTTATTTAAAAAGATATATTTTCAGATTAGTCCCACAGAAATGTTATCAAAATCAGTAGTGTAGTTTTCAAATCGAAATAACAGATTTTGCCAGGTTAAGGTCGGTTTCTTGGTTTTTAATTTTTTAAGCAAAATATATTTTTTTTTTTATATCTAAGAATGGCAAACAAGCTGACGGCCCACCTGATGGAAAGTGGTAACCGTCGCCTATAGACATGAGCCATGGACATAACAGAGTATATTTCACCCATGATACCCTCCATGCGTTTGCCATTCCTGAGGACTCAGATGTTATTCCTCTGTACCCTGTAAATTCACGTCATATCCCACCCTTCAAACCTAAACACAGCCATGCAAACACAACTGCTTCACGGTAGAAACACGAATGGGACAGAGGTACTCGACTTTTCTCGAGAGGCAATCGACTTTTGTACAAAGTCTGCCTCTGGTAAAATTATTAAAATACTAAGTAAAACCTATAATCACTTAAATCTCTTTAAAACTGCTTACTGTTGGCTTACTTATCTTTGTTAATAATAACTCAAGTGGTGACCATCTGTATAAAACTTTCCATGACATTAAGTTACTTTTATGTTATCAATTAAGTAGCAAAATCATAACAATTGTGGGCAAAAGGACTGTATGCTGGTATGGAAACACGGTGTTTTAGAAAGATAATATAATTATATTAAAAATATACAAAGCAAACCAACGGAGCAAAAATGCGAACGAAACAAAACCTAAACTGACACACACTTCAAATTATAAACAAAACATCTTTTTAATAAAATTAAATAAGAAACTGAAAAGGTGCGTCGTGCACAACAATATTATTATTTGTAGTATTTTTCTAGATAGATCATTCATCAGAATGAATCCTTAAAAAAGTAATGTTTTTTTTTTTTCAGACAATAAAACTGGAAGGTATAGACGCGGAAGCGGTTATATACTATGAAATTGTAGAATAAGTACGTATTTATCAATTAGGAAATAAGTATATCATTAAATGAGTATATATGTTACTTCAAGACTTTACTACGATATGTTATTTTTTTTAAAAAAGTCGTAATTAAATAATTTCTATTCATCATCATCATATCAGCCGTTAACCGTCCACTGCTGAACAAAAGCCTCCCCTTTGGGGGGTTTTGCCAGTAGTTGCCACGCTTGGCAGGCGGATTGGCAACCACAGTCAGGTTTTAAAAGGGACGCTACTGGATGGGCCCTTGCCATCCCTTAGTCGTCTTTTACGACACCCACGGGTCGTAAAAGACCAAAGAAAAAAGACTAAAAGACTTTTTTAGAAAAAAGGGGGTGGAGTATTCTATGCCGGGACTGCACGGCCATTATTATTATTGCTTGTAAAAATATAAGTTTATCTTACTAGTATTTTTGTAATAAAGTTAATGTTGTCTCAAGTTAAATTACCTTTTATTTTGTCATCATCTTCATTTCTAACTTTTTTTTTTTATACAACTTAGAATGGCAAACAAGCTGACAGTCCACCTGATGGAAAGTGGTAACCGTCGCCTCTAGACATGAGCAGTACCATGGACACAACAAAATATACTATTTCCCCCATGCGTTGCCATTTCTGAGGACTCAGGTGTTATTCCTTTATACCCAGTAAATTGACGCCATATCCCACCCTTCAAACCGAAACACAGCCATGCAAACACAACTACTTCACGGTTGAAACACGAATGGGACAGAGGTACCCAAGCAATTGACTTTTGTACAGTCTCCCTGATTTATAAATAATATAAACGTTTATTATTACTGCTTTGATTTCTATTTTGCACTACTGCTGCCCACTCACTACATTCTTTATATTATACTTATTAATCATTATTATTTTACTTTTTTTTCCACTGCGTTAGGTTGACTGGAAGAGATCTCTTTTAGAGATAATTTCACCTTTGCTTACGTTATTATTAATTGTTATTAATACCATATGTTTTAGTGCAATCAAGAATAATTATATAATAATTATTATTTTTCAAACTTCTGAAATCCACATGTACAAAGTAAAAATTTATAAATGGGTATATAATATTTCTATTGTAGGTAGTATATTCATTTATTTTAACATCCATTGTATAAGTAGGTATTTTATTTATAGTATATGTATTTATGTAATATTTTATTATGTATCTTAATATTTTATTTAACTATATATTTGTTTATGTACACTAAATATTAATAGTTGTAGCACTTCAGCTGCCCGCTAACAACATGTTTTCTAACTGCATTGGGTTGACTGGATGAGATCTCTGTCCACCCTTGCTCACAATATTTATAAATGCATTAACAATGTAATTTACAAGTGCAATAAAGAATATATATATATATATATATATATATATATATATATATATATATATATATATATATATATATATATATATATATATATATATATATATATATATATATATATAAATGGATATAATATTAAAAATACAAATGTGATTACCCACCACTTATCACTGTAATATAATCACGAACGTCATCAAATGAAATGTATGCATAAGCATGACACTTGCATTTTTATATTTCCAGATAAATATTTGTCGTTCAATGTTTTTGGGGGAGTCATTGCAGTTCTTTGAAGCACATGTACAGAGATAACGTTTATCGTATCAGTTGTATTATTGTCAAGAGTTTAATCAAGGGCATAGCGGTAGAATTCGGGAGGAATGGAGCTGAAGCTAGATGAGAAAACCTAATAATATCATTTTATCATCATCATCATCATCAGTCATTATCTGTCCATCGCTGAACATAGGCCTCTCTTATGGCAGACATAAAGAACGGGGCCGTTCCTTATGGCAGTTTACCATTGGGGGGATTTTGCCAGTAGACAATTTCAATTGACGTTTATTATTATTAAATTTATTAACACAAAGTATAGTATTCTTACTCCGTTACCACGGGGGGGGGGGGGGGGGAAGGGATTTTTATTAATGGAGATTGAGAATCCCATTGCTAGCAATATACCCAACCAGGTCGACCTCCTCGCGGTTCCCCCTGAAACTATCATGATTAATTCCTGATGAATTCATCATGATGGGCTAACTGGCCTGTTTTCATCCTCATCGATCACCTTTCACTGGTGCCCCGCCACCGTATCCCGTTAGCGCTGGCGGGGTTACTATTCCATTTTCTACCAATAAAAAAAAAACTCCGTTACCACATGGATAAAACATGTTCCCTACACACACAATAAAATAATCCCCGTACAATTGCCTTTCTCTTGTCGATGACGTAAGAGTCAAAAAGCTAAGGGTACCAACTGAAAGGTCAGTTGTCCATTCCGAGTGACCACCGCAACTATCGTATATCACCCGTTAACTGTGAACAGTGACAGTAATTAGAACAAGACGACATTGGCACGACTTGATTCGATTGTAAAAACATAATTATTAAAATTTAACCTGTATTTTACGTGTATTGCGATCAACTTCAATAACAAGGATGTACTTACTTAATTCGATAGTTTATTTTCAAAAAGAAGGAAGTTCTCGATTCGATTGTATTTTTTTTGTTTTATATTTGTTTCCTCATAACTAAACCGTCAGTTCTAAATCGATTTAGAAAAATTTTTTTCATCGTCAATTTTGTTTGTACGCGACGTTTTCGTCAATCTTTACCAACGATTTGAGTATTTATTTTTTCTAATTGAATGGGTTTACTCCCTTATTAGTCACACAATATATTTATCAAGATTAAATAAAATGAAATGAGATATATTCGTTAAAACATAACTGTAGTCTCTTAGCTAATATAAGTATTATAATTTTAAAAAGTTACAGTAGTTGTGGTTTTAGAACTGGGCTCCTAAATAGGTTAATATAATTTAACATGTGTTAAGGGGCTACAGCGCCAACCCCTTTTAATAGGGGGGAAAGGGATTATTAGCAATGGAGTTTGACAGCCCATTGCTAGCAATATGCGCTATTAGGTCGACCTCCACGTGGTTCCCCCTGGAAACCATCGTGTACAATTTTTGTTGAATTCGTTACGATGGACTAACTGACCTGCTTCATCCTCATCTATCATTCTTCACTGGTGCCCCGCCGGTGTATACCGATAGCGCGGATGGGGATACCATTCCATTATCACCCATTAAAAAAAATCTTTTAGTATTATTAAAGGATAAATAGATTAAAGGTACTGCACGAAACAATAACATTAATAAATAAATTATTAATAAAAACTGATAATAATTTTATTATAAACGTAGGCAAACACGTGAGAGGTACTGTGGGTGACACATTGTTTTCTTTAATACACAGTATTGTTCATGTTAAGTAAATAATGAGATACTAAAGAGATACTAAGGATATTCACCTTTAGTATCTTTAGTAGTAATAGTAGATATTATCTACCAAAGAGCTGAGTTATTTTAAAGTATTTTAGAATGATATTATTAGACATCAACATGGTCAAATCGAAATCGTTAACATACGAGTACTATGAAGTATTCTACAAGAGAAACTGAGTATTTCTACCAAAGATATATATATCTAAAAACAACAAAGAAAGTTCGAGTCTCCCATACTGGAGAGAAAAAGATAAGACCATACTTCAAAGTAGGTATGGACAATATGATGGTGACTTAGGATCCCAGAAGCTATATCTCATTTCCATAATTAGATTCCAAATTATAGCTTTTTTAAGGATGATAATGAAATAGTAACCCCGCCTGCACTATCGGTATACATTGGTGAGGCACCGGTGATAGATGACAGGAGACGATGAATGCAGGTCAGTTAGGCCATCGTGACGAATTCCACAAGAATTAACTACAATGGTTTCCAGGGGAAACCGCGTGGAGATCAAACTGATATGGTACATTGCTAACAATGATGCTGTTTTTTTTTTTAATGAATGATAATGGAATGGTATCCCCTCTTGCGCCATCGGTATACGCTGGCGAGGTACCAGTGAAGGATGACAGGTGAGGATAAAAAGGCAGACCATCGTGACGAATTCCACTAAAATTAACCACGACGGTTTCCAGGAACCACATGGAGGTCGACCTGATAGAGTATATTGCTAGTAATGGGGCTATTTGGCTTCATTACTAACAATCCCTTTCCCCCCATAATGATGCTGTTAGACCCCATTATTAATAATCCCCTGACCCCCTATTTAGATATAGCAGTGTGTCACGAAGTATTGAGAAGGATAAGAGGTAGAATTGGTGAGACACGATGTGTCAGGGATGAACTGTAGAAGGTATAAAGGGTGACGGGCATGAATGGTAAACAAATATTGGATAATTGAATAGGCAGCCTACATGAGTAGGGAAACAATACGACGATGGCGTAATTAACGGACTATTTATAATCAGGTACAAACGTATGTAAAGCTTTAACTTACCTGCAATATTAATGTATTAACATAATTACTTCACCGCGCACGCTCATTCGACTTGAGCCCCTCCTCCTATTGTTTATAGATATCGGCCATTATCTATGGACTAGCTATGACAAACGCTCGTACCGCCACCACGTTACACATTGCGATAATATTTAAGCAATCTCTTAAGTGATCAAGTACAAAAACCGGGTACTTGCAAAAAATTACTTCTGAGACCTGTACACTAGTTAATATATAATTGAATTTAATCAAATTAACAACCTTTTTAAAAATTAATAGATTTCTTTATAACCCAAGGTGTTAAGTACACCTTAATGATAAGAATCCAATGTCTTCTGAAGCCAATTTTAATCCAAATTCACAATTCTAAGTAAAAAAACAACTTTCTAATCTTCACTCTTCAAGTAATAACTAAGAACTTTAAGGGTATGCATTAACATGAATAAATAGGAATAAAGCCAAGTGAAATAACAGGAATTAACTACTATGTTTCCTAGACAGATCTCATAAAGATCGACCTAAAATAGTATACAGAGACGGATTAAATGTCCTACGACCTAGGCAAGCACCTTATCGGCGGCCCTCTAGCGGGGCATTTAATTTATATTATAAATTTAAACAAATACTAGTATTAGTAAATATTGATCACTAAATTTATGAATTATTTATTTAATACCTGATACTAATCACATTCAATGACAATCGTTAAAAAAAAAATTGAGGTTTCTGCGTCTATATTTTTTCTTGCAGAACTGTCAATGACGTCTTAAAGATAGCAATAAATTTGATTCGATATTATGTATATTAAAGAATTTATTTATTTATTATATACTTTATTACACCATTGTCTGTAAGCGACGGTTATCACTTTCCATCAGATGGGTCGTCAGCTTGTTAGCCATTCTAAGTTGCATAAAAAAATAAACCAATATTACAGAACTTTTTGAAGGATTATCAATGAGCATAGTGTAGTACAAAAGGCAATTTAATCTCTTATTTGTCATAGACGAGCGAAGATATTTTTTTTACTATCTTT